TGTCTTGTCTCCTTACCTCCTCCTCCCTCACTCCCTACCATGGTGTTGTCTTGTCTCCTTACCTCCTCCTCCCTCACTCCCTACCCTGGTGTTGTCTTGTTTCCTTACCTCCTCCTCCCTCACTCCCTACCTGTCCGTGCTGGATGCGTCCTCGTGGTTTGAAGTCATCAGCGTGACTGCTTCCAGCTGGACAGGCCTGTCTGCTGTACAGCTCCTACAGAAGTTCATCATCAGGATAATATGATAGTAATATAATAAGTCATGAGTAGATGTACTGCCTCCCTCTCCCGCTGGTCTGCAGTCTTGTTGTGAGATCGGGCTGATCTGGATCAGCTGGTTCTCTGTGCTCGCCTGTAGAGACTCGTCCTGACGAGGACGCGCACATCCAGGTGATGCAGATTCTGCCCCGTGAATGTACTGGAGGACGCTGATTGGCTAAATTGTATGTCACACGTTTGTATCTTTAATCATCAACTGGCTGAACGGCTTCATAGACCCGCCTCCTGTGGGCTGCTGAGACCTGCAGAGGACGAGCAGGACGAGCAGATACTGACACCTTACTGAGTGCTCCCATATTTACAACACAAACACGGTGAACTCACAGGTTTAGATGTGACGCGGCCCTGTTCTGTTTACTGACAGGAATCAGAGAATCACCACCTGGTGTCATGCTGTGCAGGTTTCACTGCAGGCCTGTTTCTGCCCCCCCCCCCCCCGATTGAATGAGCCTCACTGGTTAAACTGGTTAAACTGTCCACTCGGCTGGGATCGAGGACACAATGGATGCTCTCCATTTCCACCATCCCCATTGCGACAGCGATCCCATTTCCTCCCGGGTGCTGCAGAGTTTAACCCTTAATGTGTGTGTGTGTGTGTGTGTGTGTGTGTGTGTGTGTGTGTCACACTGCAGTGGAGTGATCCTCTGGATGGGGAGAAAGAGTTACATAAAGTAGAGCCGTTCTCATTACGAGTCACAGCTCGAGATGAAGACTCCTCTCCAGGATCATCCTTTCTCCCCCGAGACAGAATATGGGTCAGCCAGAGGAGACACACACACACACACACACACACACACACACACACAGTGTGTGTTCATGCAGACGATGACATTATCTTCTCAGACGCTGTCACTTCCTGTCACATTGAGAGAAGAGAACTTCTCTCCACTTGAAAGTATCATCTTTGACTTCTCTCCTCTAACATGTTAGCATGCTAATGTATTAGCATGCTAACATGTGCTAATTAGCTCTAAAGTCAGAACAGCAGCTGTCTTCAGCTCTGCAGGAGTCACATGTGTTTTACCTGAAGAGGGAGCCTGATGAACAGACGTTGGGATCAATCCTCTGGGCACCATGAATATGTCTTACATGTCAAAGCAATCCCTCCAGAAGATGTGCTGGTTTCACTAAATATAAAATAGAAATGTCAACAAGCTGCTGGTGCGAGAGGGAACTTATAGGATTCATTCTTTTGGGAACACGTGAACCAGGAGACGACCTCCGGTTCTTCAAAGCTTCACATGTTATAGCTGCATTCTCTCTAGTGTCCAGCAGGGGGCG